AATCCTGATTTCTAGGGCCATCTTGCAGATATTGCTTGCGCTTTCAGCCAGCTCTTGTTTTACTGGCATGCACTCAAGCCCCAAGTGTGACAAGTGGCCCCTCTATCAGACAATGTCCTCTTTGGAGCCAGAAGTGAATAATTGACATCGTCATGATCCCCGTCACACAATGCCCCCTTCTGTTATTGTTGGTTTGTTTTTGTTTACGCGGATTGCAATCGAGCCCAACGTCCGACGGACGCACAAGTCACTCAGAGTCTCTGTCTCTTTAATAAACTGCAAAGCAGGTTCTCTTATTTCTTACCTGTTTCACTGCTGTGTTCTAGCAGTGAAACAATCACTGCAAGTCCAACAAAAAAAACGTGCTTCAAGTTGCTACATGGGAGTTTTTTGTCCAAACAGCAGGCCTAAATCTCACTTGTAACAGGTGTGATTTTTCTCATCAGCGCTTCATAAATCCCACGAGCCTCAGCAGTGACTGGGACAGAACTAGGGCTGCGCACTCACGGAGGAATGCGGTCCTAGCCAGAAATATCAACCTCTTTCGGGCCAAGCTGAAGCCTGAGTATTCACTCAAATAAAACCCACGTACTCTGCTCCTGTATTCTATAGCGGAGAGTGTCTATTTTGCTAACAGCGAAATCTTTAAAGAGGAGGAAAGCTGGGAAAGTTACCCACCTTCTCTGCCCAACGTGCCCGTCACTCCGAGCAGCACGGCCCCGACAAACACCCAACTTCTAGCCGCCTCCATCTGCAGCCACGGGGCGCCTCTAGTCCATAATCCCAAAGTTAGATGTTTTTACTTCTCTCAATGAGGAATGGCCGTATTCGTCTGCTACGCTGTGTTTTTGGCACCCTTGGAGTTGTTTTTCGCTTCCCACTCTCAGTGACTTCCTCCCTGGAATTCCGTGCCTGTTGGTCGTGGAACGTGACAGCGCGCAGGAGCAGAGGCGCGCGCGCCCGTGGAGTATGAGAGGCCTAAGCGGGGAGTGGCAGGTTGACTCAGCCCGCCCTCACTTCAAGCTCGGCAGGGCAGTGCTGCTCTAACTTTATGCAGAACACTAAATACGATTCATCCTAGTTGTAACTTCTTCAGTGACAATACGGTATCGCTAGGCTGGTCACGTTTTCTCTGGTCGCCCTCCACTCGAAAGTGCACTTGGATGTTTGAGCTTCTCTGTGCAGAATGATATGTGCAGAGTTTGACACTAGAAAGCTGTTTTCCAGTGGTGGAAAGTAACTAAGTACATTACAAATTTTCTGCTGCTTTCTATACTTCTATAGAAGGAATTATTGTGCTTTTTACTCTATTTATATTTATTTGATAGCTTTACTTAATAGTTACTTTGCAGATTTGGATTCATAATACAAAATATATTCAACAAAAAAATTATGGTGCATTATTATAGGTAAGCATATTACTTCCTTGATACCTTGGCTATACAGCTAGGTAGCACAAGATATATATATATTTCATCAATAACTTCAATTCAATCAAGTACATTATTCTGAAATGGTCTGTTCAGCATGATGAAACTCCAACTTTTTGTACTGGAGTGCCCCTTTAAAGTAAAAATATTCAATATGCCAAATGGCTCCTTATAAATGTTATGTTAACAATTTCAGAATGCTTCAGAGCATCCAGGCAAAACAGCTTTCACAATAATCCATTAAACACTCTTCCTTAATTCATCTCTTCACATATGTGGCCTCTTATCTGTATTACTATTAAATGCTCTGCTGTTTAATTATGTTTCAAAGTTAAGCATGATGCTAGATTTTCACTGAATGTATAAAAGGGAAATGATATGAATTATACCGGCTCATAGCATCTTCATAGTTCTCATGCCCCTCACTTCACGGTCACAAATCAGGAGTTGAAGGAGGAAGAATAAACCCTATTCATCCCAATCTATCCACTCTCTCCACCCAGGGTCAGAGTCCAACTTACTGCACAGAGCTATCAGGAAACAACAAAAAGCTTCCCACTAAGCCATGCAGAACACATGTCCCAGACTTTTTACATGGGTTAGTGGTCCTGGTCTTGCTTAAATGTTTGTTTCCCACCTATGGTTCCCACAGAATAAGTCACTTTGCTGCAGAAACGAGTCACTGAGGGCTTCGATGGGAAACAGCCAATTTAGCATTGTGTTTGTACAATTTTCTCAGCAGTTAACTTCTGCAAAATGAATAACACCAAGTTTTATGAGGAGCTCTCAAGCATCAAGTCTTCGATGAAGTTTACTGGCTCTGTAGAAACATGCAAATCCTCTTTTTAGCTATAAAGAACTCAGCTGTGCAAATGCAAAACCTGGCCTAATCATAGGTTTTCTTAAAAATACAAATATAACACGAGAAAGCCTGTAGGTAGGGGTTGCAAAAACATACTTCATAAAACATTAATACTTGTTGTGGTCTACATGGGGTGTAAAAGGAAAAGGCCAGCACGTGGGTGACAGATACTGTGTGCAAGTGAGAGAGTCCAAGGACAACTACACAGACTGCAAAAAATATTTAGTTCCTTGAAGTCTCACAGTTTTTAGATTTCATTTCATTCCATTTTAAATTCAGGCCTTGAGGGCGCTGTCTTGGTGATTCTAGAGACAAAATGACTTACTTAAAGAATCTATGCGTTTAATGCTGGCACACATGCTACTAGGTCAGCAGGACCCTCAGATTGCAGTGGAACAGGGATGATCAGACTATACACGCCACTTACTTTAGAGTCATTTTTGTCCCGGAGGCAGTACCTTCTGTTAGCACCTTGACTTCAGTAGACTGTCAGAAAGTTGAGCATACATTTCTCATACATTTCATGGAGCGAATACATTATCTGGACTGGGAAACTGCAGAAAGCAAAGAAATACACTGTTATGCAGTAGTGGAATATAAGTACATTTACTAGCATTCGTTTTCTGGTCATTGTACTTTCTTGAATATTTTCATTTTAAGCTTTATTTTACACTTCTACTCCTCTACATTTCATGGTGAAATTATGTTTTTTTACTGCACTGCATTTATTTGACAGCTGTAGCAACTAGTTATTTAATGCATACATTTTTTTTCTTATAAAACAATTGTGATGAGCCTATAAAATATGATTCATACAGCGTTAAACCAGTGGCTTCTAACCTGTTTGGCTGGTAACCACTTACTCCTAAACTGCAACTGGTTTGGGCCCTTTGTCATGCTTCAGATGATTTTTTGAGGCCCAAAGATGTGAAATTATCCAACATAAAAAAAAAAAGGTTTGATAAATGTCCAAAAAATGAAAACAGACTTCTTTCCCACTCCATTAATCATCTCACTACCCTGCAGATTTGGAACCATTGGACTAAACCTACTTACTTACTAAAGTAAAATGTAACTTGCAACATCAGTATTAAAATAAGAGTTTTTAGCTGGCAATACTAGTACTAGTACTAAAGTTTGCATACCAGTGAGTGTCAGCCCACTAATAAAGTTTTTTTTACATAGTTGTATAACTTTTACAGGAGTAAAAGATCTGAATTCTCCCACCACTAAATTTAAATGAATAAAATGAATGCTGAGCAGTGCACGGAGACAATAGAATACACAACATTACAATGCCAGTGTGCAAAGAACTACACAGGGTCACGTTGACAGTCAAGGGAATACATTCCTAGATGGAGGACCTCTCCAAATGCACACTTATTTAGGCTATTCGTAGTCACTGGTATGTACAGTAGTGGACACCGGGTATAGTTGTAACACTTTTTGCTTCAGCAACTATTACTCACAGAATTTTTTAGCAAGAGTTCTCAAACCTTTATACAAAATACCCACATTTGTTCACAACAATTGGCACCAATTTAGTCCTCTACAAGAATATCACAGACATCATGAGTTGATGTCAAATGCATTGTGTTCCCTTGTTACAACCTACCCCAATACCGGGGTGGGTTGTAGTAACACATGCTGGGGTAAGTTGTACCAATAAGACAAAAGAAGCAAAAATAGATGCCACACTATATGATATGCTTCAAAAACAGGTAGTGATATAAAAGAACAATGTTTCTCTCTCACTGTAACAGACTTTGTCTGATGACTCGTGCGCATGAACAGTATGTGTATGTAAATTTATCTATAGAATAAACTTACTTAACAGTATACATAATAAATACTACTAAAATGTACGTAATTAAAGAACATCTCTGTACATCCTTATTTCTAACAAAAAAGTGGTGTGTGTCTGTGTTTGCATATTCTTAATCAGAGTCAGTCAGTGCTTGAAGTGGGCCGACACTCACTGGTATGCAGTACAAGCACTTCTATACTTTACTCTTTGGTGTACTGGGACTTTTTCTTGCACACTGGAATTTCTCACAAGCTGCCCGTACACTTCTCTGCCCTCTCCACCGGCGGAGACGGAGTATTGCGTAAGATTAAGTGCCGATACACATGGCAACATGTGAATGGGAAACAGAGTCACAGTGCTGACAAATGAATCCTGGTAACCCTGGAGTGCAGGCTTGGTGGACCAAGAGACTGCATAGGGCATTCTGTAACAATATTAAAATCAAGAAAGTCCCTAGTTAAATGTATTGCATTTTTTAAAGAAGTGTTACAACCCAGCCCACCCCTGTCAGCCAGTGTTTAGCTACCTGTTTTAGAATAGTATTTTGAAATTAGAAAGGAAAAAGTGCATCACGTTGCCTAAGAAACTACATTTCAATCTAAAATAAGTCAAACACTTTTATCTGCAATAGTATAGATGCTAAAAAATATATAGTCTTGGTCAACCTAAAAAATAATTTTTTTCTCTATATATTCTGAATGTACCCGTTTCCAGACTTGAGAACCACCATGGCTGATCAGGGAGGAAGTAGGTAAAAGTTGAAATGATCACCTAACTCCTATCTTATCTCTAATTGCTAGAATCGGTGTTGTTACAACTCTCCCCATGTTACAACTATACCACATTTACAGGACAAAAAGTCAAGTGTCAAGTAGGGGGTGGAAAAGACAAGAGAGTCCCATTCCTTATCAACAAAGAAGACTTTTATTTGTTCCATTTTCTTTTTCTTTTTTTTGGTCAGATATTAGATGTGAGGTGGAGGAAAGTGCATTCAGTAGGAGAGGTGATGGTGCACAGGGCAGCAGGCAGGGGGCAGCAGATGAGCGAGGGAAGAGGAGGGATGTGGTTATCGGTAAGGAAGAAGGAAGTGAACAATGAAATGATTAACAGAGCAAACATCTGTTTTTATGCTGATTCCTCAGGAAATATTCAACTTATTAAAACAGATACCAATGGAATGATTTAGCAAGGTTATCAGTAGGCAAAGTACTTTCAGTTTTGAATAGTGTGATTTTTTGATCAATTTAAATTACATTTTGTTCAAGTGGGCAGTTGTTTTAGCTTTTTAAAAGTATATGTAAATTGTAATAATTGGGACACCATTTTATGAATTATAGTGGTTAATAAACATTACAACATCTGAGAATATAAACATTTTTGGCCAATAACAATTACAATATGCACTATGTACTATGCACTATACTAGGAGAGTATCTCTTCCATGATTTCAGGAATCTTTTTGCCACCCAAACCTATAACAACCTCTCCATGTGTTAGGTCCTCTGTATTCCCCCACCCCCCTCAAAGGCTGTCAGCAAAGCTAAATTTACCCATCGTCTCACACACACATTCATGCAGCAAACGTCCAGCATTTACACACACAGACACCGGTCGTTTTACAAAAGGATTGAGCATAATCTAGCTCTCTCTCACACACACACACACACACAGTGATTCAGTTTATGATGGCAAAAACAACACAATGTCAAGTCAAGGCAATGTGTACACGTCGTACTGGTCATTGTTCGCATTCTCACACAGAAATACAGAGGCGTGGGCAGAATTTCAAAGAAAAATGTGTGTAACTGTACACACACCCCATAAAGTGCACGCATGGAAGGGAAACTTGGAGGGATGAAGACATACAGGGTATGAATTCAAGAGGTTTGGCGCAAACGCTGAGAGGAAGGAAGGTGTTTTACACAGAAGAAACATGCACATTGACAATGCAGTGTGTAAGGCAGACATGGAGGGAAATGGGAGTGTGGGGCAGTTATCTGTAAAGCAACTGATTATGTGTGTCATTATGGAGAATACTACAGCAAGAAATGCAACCAAATCCAAATAATGGGAGTCAAATGAACACCTAAACACTCACACACACCACCTGACCCCAAAATTTATTAAATCTCTTGCTGTAAAAAAAAAAAAAAAAAAAAAAAAAAAAAAGCCCCACTGATTGCAGCTTCCTGTTGCAGCTTATTTTTCCTACTTTCCCGTGTTCTCCTTTTCCTCACAGTAAAAGGCAATCCAGGTGAATTAAAATAATATTTCTCATCAATAATATGCTCATCAGACATATCCCATCCAAATTCAAAATCAAGGAATCAAAAGCCAAAACAGAACAAAGCACAAACTGGTCGTCAACAACAACAACAGAATTAAAAACAACTAAGGCAGCTGATGAAAATTACATATGAAATTATAACTGAAGAGAATAAGAAACAAAAGCAGCAGTGGAACAACAGAGGCACAAAAATAAAGGTGTAATGGAGAGAAAACAAACAAAAAAACACAGTCAGCTAGAATAGCCTCCAAACATAAACCCTCTCTCTCTCTAGAACAATCCTCTGGCAGCCCCCTCCCTCCCATTCACAAGGGGGGACCGCTCTGCGTCCGCCAGTCCGCTTTTGGCACAGCTGGATCCTGACACATGTTGTACCAACAGAGTAGGTTATGATGGCCTGGCAAGCGATTTGGTGCCATCTATTGTCAGCTACGCCAAACTGCAGAGCCAAGCGTGTTGGGTCTTCCAAGAGGCTGGTGATCTTGAGTGAAGTCAAATCATGGGTTCGGGGGAGCTATTACAGAAGCGCCCGAAGACTCGAAAGAAACAGGATACGTGTCCCAATTGGGAGTCCCAAAAAAACCTGGGTCTGCTGTGGTAGAATTCAAAAACCTTTTCCTTCATCTTGTTTTGCAATTATAAGAAATGGCAAAAGAACTGTAGAGCACACGTGAGTACAAGGCAAAGATAAGTAGAGCAAGCGTCAATCGCAATCATTTTAAAGAAGAAAGAAATTACCACAAAATTAAAAAAAATTAAATTAAAAACAAGAAAGATGTAAACAAAGTCTACTTTGATGGAAGTCATAGTGGTGTCATGCATGTCATCTGGGAGGCTGAGCTACTTCCGTGTTCGGGTGTCCAGCTGCTCTGATTGGAGAGGTGTGAGGGTGCAGGCGTGGTGAAGAGGCGATGAGGTCCTCCTACTCGAGTTTGACGCCCATCTTCTCTGTGTTTAGTAAGTAGAGGCTGTCGTCTATCAGGAAACTGGAAGGAGAATGAAGTAAGAATAATTAATCAGGTACCTCTATTATTAATATTCCTTTTAATTCTCTCCTTCTACACACAACTAAATGCAACATTTTCTCTCAAAAACACAACACTTTCTTTCTTCCAGACACTGTCAGAAATGCTTCCGACACTGTGAAACGAAGGCAGAGCGGGTGAGTGGACAAACCTGTAGAAAAGGAAGTGCACCGGTATGGTGCTGAGATGCCACACAGCATGGGCATCTAGGATCCAGAGCATTGGGGGGAAGTCCAGCAGCTCCAGCAGGGCCAGACCGTGAAGCAGCAGCACCACCAGGCTGCACTTCCGACAGTATGGCAAGGTCCGTCGGTTCTGCCAACACCAGCACAGCCACCACAGGAGGTTCACCATGCCTTTAAAGACAGAAGACATTCAAAAGATAAGATGAGAAACATGCCATCTGAAGCACAAGGCATCAGATAAGTGTCATCCTAAATCAGTATTTAAGTAGTGAACAAGGAGATTAGATCTATATTCTAAGTTGTGCAGACTGAATAACTTTAGAAAAAGTATTAGTATTAGGTAAGTAGATACATATTGTAAAAACAAGTACAATGCAGCAATAGAAGAGTACTTAAAATAACACAAGTAATGCAAATAAGCTATTATGACCAACCAAATATGAGCTTTAATGTGACTTTTGTGCATTTGTTTTACCGATGGTGGCGTTAGCAGCCATGTTGTAGCCGTAGTCGAAACTGACAAAGGTCAAGTATGACACGTGCGAGGTAAAGGCCAAGATGAGCAGGACTCCCACCATGCTTGACACCCCAGGTCGCTTCAGACCCAGTGTTCTGACGCAGGCAGTGGGAACAGGAATAATTAACAGAAAGTGTTACAGCAGATATACTCCATTAACCACAATATAGGAGTCGCAGAAGATTCTTATCTTAAATATCAAAACTTAATTCAGGAAATATTAGACGGAAATGTTAACCAGGGTCAATGATTTATAGAGTTGAATGTGCTTTCAGATTTCCTGCGACCATATTTCCATCTCGTTTCGTGGGACACATGAAAACATTTGTAAGTCACGTAGAATACTTGTTTTAGAGCTTACCTCACGCAGCATAGGTAGATTGAGTAAAGAATGACTGCTGTTGCACAGAAATAGTCCATTTTCTGAAGGAGAACGACACAGAGAGAGAAAACAAAAACACAGAAGTCAACATCAAGATCAAAAGACAGACTTTTTTCCTGCTGTATGTTACAGGAACTATGCTGCACGCAGCAGGAGGTCAGTAATGGCATTAGATGTTACTGATTAGCTAATCTCATTAGCCAGAAAAATCCTCATCTCACTAGGTGGCCACTTTTTTTTTTTTAATGAACACTGAATCAACTGACTGCCTGTAATGTGAAAAGGCTGCTTTAAGCTGTGCTCAGCTCATTGTTGGTACGCTGGTCTGCACACTGAGTCCCACCAGCTCTTACCAACCCTCCATATAAACAGTGATCCACTGCTGCCCACGCGGGAGCTGACTGAACAGATATCTTTCTCGGGAGAAAGTGGATCAAACAGAGTCTGAAAGGCTTAATTTTACATCAATCAGGTAAAGAGAAACAAGACTCTGAAAGGATGCTCATGCTGCTGTTTCTACAAAAACTGACAATGATTCTTTATTTTGTGCCATCAAGTGGACAAAAATGGCTTGGTCATCAACCATTACCTCAGTGAGATAGGTGTCCCGGGTGTGAAACACTGTAGACCAGAACCAGGCATTAAGAGATACCTAAAGAAACACACAGGATTTTGTTTAATACACATGGTAAATTTTGTCCTGACACTAACGCTAAGACATCGCAGTATTTGTGTTAAGTTCTTTTCATTTTCTCCGTCTCACTGAAGACGCAGCGTTAAGACTCACCAGAGAGAAGGCGTTGATGGTGTGGTACATGGGGCTCTGGCGTGGCACCGTGCTCCGATAGCGCAGCAGCATGAGAAGGCAAGCCAGGCCGTTAAGCAGAGAGGCCAGGGCGGAAGCTGGCTCCTCAAAACACAGGAAGCGCGCGAATGGCCACTAAGAGAAACAAAATATATCACACTCAGATCGGTTTAAAGCAAAACCAATCCTGGAGCAAGTTTTGTTCTGATAGAATCTACTGATTTAAGTAACCAGAATTTAAAGCTATTGAGGAGGACAGAACCCAGCATCCTCTCAGAATAACTTTAGGTAAGATTTTGTGATAAAGCTGGGTGGGATACACACGCAGACCCCTATAAGAAGCACAAACCTTGCCGTGGAATTGTGGGACCCTGTACCCCTCGGCCTGGTAAAGCCCCACCGTGGTCCACATGCACTGATAGCGACAGTCATCACGACATGTCCAACCTGGAGCACAGGAACAAAGAAAGAGGCGCTGACACAGAAACACAAGGTCACGTTTAGGCCTTACATCTTTTGATTAACTAATAACTGAAAGGTCAAATGACAGAGAATCAATCGGTTGTTCCGGTGAGGAACTGCTGGGTTTTCTTTTTTTGTTTCAATTTAAATGGAAATTCTACTACTGTTGTTGGTTGAACAAAACAAGACATTTGAAGATGTGCTTTACGTTGTCTGGGAAGTTATGATGTTTTTTTCTCACTATTTTTTGACCTTCAATTATTTAAGAAAATGATCAGCAGATTAATGAATGATAAAAATAATGGTTAGGGGAAGTCCTGTTTGCAGCTGCAGAAAAAGGGGGCACTACTTCTTAGTTTCTCTATTCTGGATGAATTCCACTGTATCAATTGCTATAACTTTTCAAAATGTTTAATTTACTGATTTGACGCCAATTTTGCTTGTGGTTTTAAATCTCACACAGACACACACTATACAACTGTTAATGATGGGCCGAGGGTGGAGTTACAATAGGCCCTTTGTGACACCTTGCTCTTCCAGAATAACTGGCTTTCAACTTTTCAGTTAATGAAACGGTGTCACATGTTTCATGAAACGTCAAAGATGAAAAAATATAACCGCGCTTAAAGTCACGCTGCAGCCATGACATACAGAGCAGCATCAGCAGAGAGCAGATACATGGATGAGTAAATACACAGTGAATGTTTGCTGTTAGCAATTACAGTCAATGGGCGCATTTAGATGGACATCCAGTTGTGAAGTCCGGCGGGTATACTGTTGATAAATGTAGCTACAGACTACTAGCAAGCTAAGTTAGCTTAACTTACCTACCACCTAATAGAAGCTCACCTGTCAGCGCCATGTACTGCGGCTGGGCAGACTGGAAGCCACGTAGCCGAGCTCCGGTGCAGTTGGTGCGGACACACTGCTTCACACAGTCACGGTAAACCGGCTCCTTGTCGCCTTGAGAGGACCGTACTGTGGTCACCGACATCAGGACCAAGAAGACGGTCGCCACAGCGGGGAGTCTGACAGATGTGCAGCGGGATTCCGCTGAGGCCATGGTGGTGGGTCTCGGCCCGTCAGAACTCACAAAGGCACGGCGGGACGACAGCGGCATCGACGGCCCACATTACCAGACAGCCATCCCCAGTTTGTGGTGGCAAAGCGGGCCTGAAATGTTTTACAGTTACAGTACTTGTGTGTGTTGCTGTTCCCTTGCCCTCTGATCGGGGTCAAGTTTAATACTCACTCACTCGTTTCCGGCCACTATTTCCAAAGTAAAACACTCGCTGGTGGACGTTTCTGGAATATTTTGTTTTGAGGAGCGATAAGACGAAGAGTTACAGCTAAAGTATCACCTGTGTTTGATCTGATTTCCCAACTTAACTTCGAGAAATAATTCTTGTTTTGTTAGGTTACTATTTTGTTGCATTCTTTACCGGTATTGAAAAGCGACATATTGGCAGCTTTTGTTTTGAAGGCAGAACATTTGGTTGCAGTCAGATTTATTTCCTGTTTTGGGTAACAACGTCACCATGTCACGTGATTCACTGATCTATTGATTTTTTACATTGTGTAATAATATATTTCATGATAGCTCGATATAATATTCATTTTTGTTTATTGTTGTATAGGTTTTATTAATCATAAAACAATAATCATCATTAAAAGCATTCATGTAAGTTAAGAGTTAATGTTTAGGAGGACTTAAACTCCCGAAAATCCTGTGTGATAGCCTACACGTGCTGATACACAATTGGTATGATACCACATCAAATGTATAAACTTTGTCAGACAAGCAGCTGTTTTTTAAAATGCCTCCTTCCTACTGGACTTGGACTCTACAGTGGCGTTTTGACAGGTGTCTTCCCTGTTGTGGAAAATGTCTCTTGCTTTTAATATGCAAGTCTTTTCTCAGTGTCTAACTCATCACACCGCACTCATTAATCGCCAGTCAATTTCCACAGCCTATCAATATCAGGGTTCACTAAATGGTAAAGGGGAAAAGGTATTAAGTGGTGACTATTGACAGATGTCAAACAAACATACAGTGACATTGTTTTTCTGTATTGTTTAATGGCAGCAGATTGCTAGTGAATGAAACACATTTATTTATTGAATAGGTTCTAATTTCCGGATATATTTCAAAGCTAGCTGTATACATGGAAATGAACAAAATGACGAAGAAGAATTGAAATAAGTAACCTCCCCACAACTGGTGTTATTTCAAGAAGCACATTTAACATGATACATATTTGACATATTTGATATATTTTAGACATTGCGGTTATGAATAGATTTTAAAGGTCAGTAGTTTAATTACCCCATCCAAACCTTGATAATGCGTCACCATTTGCATATTACAGTCAATGTGCAGTCAGCACTCTAAAGGGCTGTCCCATGGTGCTATCAACTCACACCCCCACTTAAACCAACAGACACAGTGACATACGAAAGAAAGTGGATTTTATTTATACTTTTTTATTTGTTACAGTCACAACAACAGGAGAGAAACAGTGCTGAGAGGGAGGAAGAAGAGTCAAAAACAAAGAAGTTTTACTTTTGTTTATTTCATCTCTGCCTCCCACTCACCATCTTTCACCATCTCTTTCTCTGTTTACAAGATTTAAAGAAAAGAAAATCATGCTTTCCTGTTTTTCACTGCAACTTTTCCATTTGTACCTGTCGATTAGAGAGGAAGAAAAAGAGAGGGGTAGGCAAACTATTATAGTACAGTACTCCCACTCTTTTACTGTGCACTCCTCCCCAATGCAAACAAAGGGACAAATCCATTAAACACTCTGTGTCAGGTTGAGACTCACAGACCACTTGGGTCAGTCTACGTACTTGTTTCAAGCAAGCGACTGTGCTTGCACCACAGCACCCAAGAGCCATTTTAGACACACCGCTGTATACGCTGGACTGCATTTGCATACACACTGTATGTAGGTATGATACATGCACTGTTGGCCTCAACACAGGAGGACAGAATGAGTTATGGGAGGAAAAGGAGGAGGAACAAGACGCAGGGACAGAGATGGGGAGAGTGTTTCAGTGCCACAAGATTATTTTTTATTGAAAATAATCCCATGTTCCCCTGTTGGTACTCACACACAAACACCCCCACAGCCTTCAGTCCTCTCACTGAGTATCTCTATAAAGGAAACAAGTCTTTTCGTAGTGAGCTGGCAAGCGGAAAGAGCGGGCTGGGGCGCGAATGTGTGCAAGGAGGCCATGGCGTTGGACAAGGGGGAGTGAGTAGATGGTGCAGCAAATATGGGTTTGAATGGAGGTAGAGATCTTGAAAGAGGGGGATTTACTCCTCCTTCTCCTCTCCGTGTGTGATGACGTAGCAGATGTTCTTGTAGTCCACATTGCCAGCCACATCAGGGGGGAAAGCAGCCCACAGGTTGGTCATCTGCAGAGGAGGGATTAAAGAAATTGCTTACAATCCTGAACAACTAATGACTAGAGTGGGAATACGAGTGAGAGACAAAGACGGATCAGCTCACCTCCTCAGCGGTGAACCTGTCGCACTGGGTGGTCAGGAGCTCTTCAAGGCTAGAGAGGGCAAATGGAGAAAAATTAATATCAGATGGTCTATCTTGATTCAAGATTGTGCCATAAAGAGCTCAGACTGTTAAAAGCCCTTACAATTCCTTCTTGATGGCGCCAGTGCCCTCAGGGTCCAGGACCTTGAAAGCGCTCACGATAACGTCCTCGGGATCAGCACCTAAGAGTAAAAGCAGCCAATTAGTCTCAATTATAAAAGATAAAAAGTTCCTGAATTATATTAAGCGTGTAATGTGAATTATTGTAGGCAAGCAAGAAGATAAATGCACTCCTTGCAGTGCTACATATCTATGAAATAAGAGAAAAGGTGACAAGCAAGGGAAGCTTGAACTGTGTGAGTGGCAACGCACCCTTCAGCTTCTCGCCGAACATGGTCAGGAAGACAGTGAAGTTGATGGGGCCGCTGGCCTCCTTCACCATGGCCTCGAGCTCCTCATTCTTCACATTCAGTTGGCCCATGGTGGCCAGCACGTCCCTGAGGTCATCCTTGCTGATGATGCCATCTCTGTTCTGGTCAATGATTGTGAAAGCCTGCCAGGGAGGATGAGAGAGGAGACAGTAAACACAAGAAATGGTCAGTTATCTTTGATGTGTTGCCACCTCCTCAGATGACATTCATAAGCCCTCCACACGTTATAAACAAAAATACAACCAAATTAAAACAGTGAAAACTGAGACCCTCACAATTCTCACAAGTCCTTGTCATGAGACTTGCTTATGACAATTATCTGAGCGAGGTAGTCTGCCAACATAAACGTGTAAATGTGGAGCCGTTCTCCACCTCTCTTTCTACATAGCTGGGCGTAGCACCCCGGTGAAACCAAAGATGGCATTGCAGACCTTTTCAGGCTTGGCAGCTGGTCGGCCACTTGTCTTTCTAAGGTGTTAAAATGGTCTCGGAATGTGAGACAAGCCCCTTGACATTTGGGGAAAAGGTATTATGGATACAGCTGTCACCCACCCCTCCCCCCCTTTTGCCGTGTAACTAAATCTTCTGACCCTGTCCTCAATGTTCTTTCACCTTTTGAAGCCTCTAAAGGGTACATCTATGCCACTGTCATCATTGTATTCTCTTTTCCTTCAACCTGTATACTGAGGAAAAGACCCAGAAAGAGTGATGATTTTTGCAATCTAATGGCAACGATGTTCCCCTTTCTCTTCACTAAACGTAGACTCAACTTTAGGTCCAGGGACCTCAAATGTTTTCTTGTTCTTTCTTCCTTGAGCCCCACTTTCCTGCTTTGATTAATGTCACTGTCCACCAGCTGTTGGGCAGCATTCCAGCGAGGTCACAGAGCAAGTGTTTGAGTCTGAGGAGGATTACTGAGCTAACCCACGGGAGAGGTAGCTGCTGTCATCGGAAAACTCAGATTTACTGTCCTGCCGTGTTGATGAGGACTTTTCTCCTGTCATGCAGCCAAACCAATCATGTCTGTATCTTTTGAAAAGCTTCCCCGCGTCACCTCCAAGGTCAGATGATGCATGGAGTTGTCAGTTAGATCACCCACAGAATCTAGTTTTCTCACCTAGACTAGAGAGACCGAAATTTATACAGCTAGACAACTTCAGCTTTGAAGTATGCGAGATGTGATGGAGAAAACTTTACCTCTTTGTACTCCTGGATCTGGCTCTGCTCAAACATGGAGAACACATTGGAGGATCCACCCTCACCCTGCTGCTGCCTCCTCTTGGCCTTCTTGGGTGCCTGTGAAGTGATGATGAAAGGTGAAATAAATTTTCAAGCATACAAAACCAGACTTAATGTAAGATGTAGTGATCCTGGCTTACTTAAAGCGAAAAATACAAAGACTGTCAAGTAGAGGTCAGAAACAAGAGGACACACGGGAGTCAGGAGTCCTAAATTGTGCTTGTTTCCGTATCTTCTACATCCATATTATGGCTAAGAGAAGCTCCATTAAGTCTCAGTAAATCACTATATCAAGTAGTTCTTGCCAAATTGCAAAGTTTTTTTTCCCTAGAAAAGAAGTCTGTCCATTTTGAATCAGTCAATTTAGATTGCAATTGCTTTGGGGACTACAAAACATTTAGTATTTCAGTATTTCATCATGGTTAAGGTTTGAGACGTTTGCCAAACTTTAGCTCAAGCCAGGAGATAAAAGTTAAGACCGGATCCAAATCCACAGAGGCTCAGCTCAGGAGACCTCTGCAATTTTGCTTCACGGGCTGTCGGTAATCCAGATAGCAAATGTATCAGGGATGCTTTCATCTCATCAGTTTAGAGCGGAGAATTTCCTAAATTCCTAGACACCCCTCTTCCAAGGAACATGGCCACACTCACCATCTCTCAAGTTTGTGGGGTTGTTGGTGGTCAAGAAGAGAAGCCTACGCCAAAGCCAATGTGACTGACATATAAGCATTGGCCCCTTGGGGCCTTATATACTAGCCCATGGGGGGCTAACTTTAGCCACACCATCAGGTTTGGCAGGAAAACAGAGCCGAGGGAAAGTAAGAGAAAGAGGGAGGAGCGAGGAGGTGGCAGGGCGGATCGGCTTACCGATGCTCCAAAATAGGCCCCAGGAGTCTTGGAATGAGGTGAATTCAATGCCAACACACAAGCCTGACTTTGGTGTCATCTGTGCACTAATATGGCCAAACTGACAGACTGGAAAAATGCTGCTGGACAACTGAACTGCCCCCATACCCTTCTTGTACTTCTTGACATA